GGCTTATGGTCTGTAATAATGGAAAATGTCCTACCATAAATGTATTCATGGAATCTCTTGACTGCGGAAACTATGGCGAGGGCTTCTTTGTCCAGCTGGCTATAGTTCCTTTCTGGCTTGGACAAGGTTCTGGAAAAGAATGCAACTGGGGCTTCCGTTCCATTTGGTAAAACGTGGCTCAGGATGGCGCCAACCCCGAAAGGCGATGCGTCGCAAGTGACGGTCATTGGTAGTGTCTCATTATATTGAATGAGGACTGCGTCTGAAGTCAAAAGGTTTTTTATTTGGTGAAAAGCGTGCTCTTCTCGCCGTCCCCATATCCAGGAAGCCTTTTTATCAAGGAGTCGATGCAGAGGTTCTGCGACAGTCGCTTTCTGGGGTAAAAAAATGTTATAGAAATTTATGAGTCCGAGGAAGGCTTGGAGGTCCATTTTGTTCTTTGGTCTGGGGGCGTTTTTGATGGCTTTCAACTTTTTATCTGTGGGGTGAATTCCTTGTTTGTCAAGGAGGTAGCCAAGAAATTCAACCCATTCAGTGCATAATTGGCACTTTTCCTTCTTCACCTTGAGGCCAGCGTCTTTGAATTTCTGTAGGACCGCTCTCAGTCGTTTTTCCAATTGTTTTTTGGTGGGGGCTGCTACGAGAATGTCGTCGAAATAGGGCATGACTCCTTTAATTCCCTGCAGCAATCTCTCCATTAAACTTTGAAAAATGCCCGGTGCGACGCTGACCCCAAACTGGAGCCGGTTACATTTGAACGCCCCTCTATGTGTCACTATTGTTTGGGCTTCGGCGGTTTCAGCATCGACTGGCAGTTGTTGATAACCTTGAGCCAGGTCGAGCTTTGCAAAGATTTTGCCACCCCCTAGTGAGTGCAGGAGATGCTGGACCACTGGCACCGGGTAGGCGCTCTGCTGTAATGCGTGGTTGAGGGTGGCCTTGTAGTCACCACAAATTCTCAGGGAGCCATCAGGTTTGATGGGGGTGACAATTGGGGTCTCCCAACGGGCATGATCGATGGGTTCTAACATGCCTTGCGCTATTAGTTTGTCTAATTGTTAGTCTATTTTAGGCTTGAGTGCAAAAGGCACTCGGCGCGGTTTGAGACGGATGGGAGCGATGTCAGGGCTGAGATTAAAGGAGATAGGGGACCCCTTGTACTTGCCTAGATGTTCACTGAAGACTTCTTGGAAGTCCTGGATGAGGGTTGCTTCCCAGTCTTTGTCTTCTGTGTGGTTGATGCCTGCCATCTCGATCCCCAACGGTGCAAACCACTGCAACCCGAGTAGGCTGGGTCGATCTTTATCAACGATTGTGAGTGGTAGGATGGTAGTGTGGTTTTTGAATGAAACTTTAAAATGTCCAGTGCCAGCGACAGGAATGCGATTACCTTGATAGTCTCTCAATATTAGCTTCTGGTCGCTTAGCTCTTGGCGGCGGATGCTGGGAATTAGTCATTTTATGGTCCTCCAGGAGACCATAGAGAGGGAGGAGCCGGAGTCTACCTCCATGGTGCAAGGTTGATTCTCAATGGTGACCTCTCTATTGATGAAGCGTGGCCGATGGTGACTGTTTGGTGCGTTTCCTCTCTTCTGGGTACCTCGATGAACTTCCTGGGTCGGCTGTCCTGGTTCCATCGGCTGTCATTTTGGCGGTCCCGGTTCATGGTGGGGGTGCCATCACTTCTTGGGCTGTTTCCCCGTCGTAGGGGACTGGAATTTCATTTATTGCGGCATACTTTGGCAATATGCCCTCGTTTTTCGCAAAAACGGCAAACAGTGTCCAGGAACTTACATTCGGAACGCGGGTGATTTCCTCCGCAGCCGGCACATTGGTAACTCGACTTACGGCCGCGCCGGTTTCGTCGCTCGCGTTCTGACTGAAGTCTGTGAATTTCTTCCTCTTCACTGTCAGAAGGGGATTCGATGTCGCCGTGGTGGGTGGATGCCATGTGTTTCTCTGCTGCGGTTGCCGTCTCGCTGGTGGGTTGGCGGTCGGTTCCGTTTGAACGCCGCATTCGCGCTGCTGACTTACGGGTGGCCTCGGCGGCGGTGGCTTCGGCCACGGCGTCGGCGAGAGAGATGTCTCCTTTAGCCATCAGCCCGCTTTGGAGAGTTGGGTCTTTCAGGCCGAGGACGACTCGGTCACGCATGGCTTCGTCTAGGTTGGCGAATCCGCACAAGCCTCCTAGGTTCCTCAGGTCGGCTACGAACTCTCCGATGTTCTCGCCCTCGCGCTGATCCCTCTGATAAAAGTCATGCCGCCGGATGAGGGTTGGCACCGCCGGGGCGTAGTGATTCCGGAGGATGGGAGCTAGGGTATCCCAATCCATGGTCTTGACGTCTGCGGGCTTTGCAAGTGCTTTGGCCATTTTAAAAACGGCGGGTCTGCAGTGTGTTAGAAAGACCGCTCGCTTCTTGCTGCCGGTGGCGTCCTTCAGGTTGTTTGATTCCAAGAACATTTGGAAACGATCGATGTAGGACTCCCAGTCCTCGCTGGCCGGATCGAATGGTGCGGGTGGCACGGCACTGCTGGCCATCTTGCTGGTCGTCCAAGCGCTTTCTGCCACGTGCTAGTCAGCTCTGTTGTCTCAGTATCCCACCCTCGTCGCCAGTGTTAAGTCTGGGCGGTGGGTCCCAAGGAGAGATGAGACTCGAAGTAGTGACAACAGCTCTTTATTAGGAGATCAGATACTGAGACAAAAACCCTAGCCGCGGCAGCTCCTTTTATAGGGCTGGCTGCGGCTAGGCAGCCTATGACATGCATTTGAGCTTGCCGCGCTTGGTTTTACCCAATCGCAGCAGCCCGAATATCAACCAATCAGAACGCTTACTATTGTCCAATCACGGCCCGGCTTTTCCGGACCAATAGGAATGCAGGCCTACAAGCCTGCTAGTATGGAACAGAAATTATTTTCTTAACACTTAGACAATAGGAACCGTCATTTCTCTAAACCAACAAATAAGTAATACTTTAATCTAAAATAAAATGATTCCTTCTCCTATTGAAATAAGATTAGCAGCCAGTTTGGTCTAAGGCACTAGGCTAGAAATCAAGAGACCATGAGTTCTACTGCTACCTTAGGCATGATTGACTTGGGCCAATCACACTCTCTCAGCCCAACCCATTTCACTCATAGGGAAGAGGCATCCTGTTTTTAGAGAATAAGCTGCTTTAATGCGTAAGCACATCTGATCTATTACTTTCTCCTATTAAACATCTTTTCCCTTTCTTCAGTTTTATTTTAGAGTCTGAAGTTCAAATTACATTCCTTTTGTTTAGTGCCTTTTGTTATGAGAGGATCCAAAAGATTATGAAAAGGGAGCGTATTTGCCCTTCCAAGATCAGGCTAGCTGTTTTCATGCTACAGTTTGCAAGGACATTTTCTGTGATTATGTGGAAAAACCCTTCCTTTAAACTAAGATATGAATCAGAGGGGAGACATCAAAACCAGGGGAAGATCTTCTTCATTTGACCTGAGGATGCTCTAATGCACATCCTTTTCTGAGGAGAAACTAAGATTTAGGAACACTAGGGAAGGATGAGCTGAACAAGCTTCTTGGATGAGAAGTCAAACATCTTCAAAATAAAACCAGAAAGTCCAGTTGCCTCTTGAAAAAGTACCATTGGGACTAGGGAAGGATATTATAACAAAACTGTTAGATAAGCATGCTGGGGGAGAGGATAGAAATGTATTTAACAAATTTGGATTAAGCTATATAGCATTTGGGGTGAGCCTTGTTGATGTGTAATGAAGTACGAGTTCAGCTTCCCCAACCAGTATGGCAAATGATGAAGCATGCTGGGAAATGTAGTGCAGTGATACTGGCAGGTCCACAGGTTCCCTACTTCTATTTTGTGTGTCTGCATTGATATTTACCTTATGAATATGCAAATAACTGCAAACATTACAGTGCAACATGCCAATAAACCTGCCATAGTTTTACTTCAAAAAAATAAAATAAATCAAAGCTGCTCCAGGAAGCTGCTTACTGATTAGAGAATTGGGACCAATACTTTAGTAATGGAAATAGTTAAGAATTTCCTGAAAAGTTATCTTGTGGCTCTCCTAAAAAAAGTATAATGAAACCTTGCTGAAGTTGTGGCATGGACAAAGCAAGCTTGTTTTGGTAAGATTTTAGGGAGCTTGATGCCTGACGGTAGTGTTTTAGTTAGCATATTGAAATATTGAAAGCAAATATCAATTGAATTTTGAAATAATAGCAAGCTTGATTCGATTCATTTAGTAAACACAATGTGAAATGGAATTCTATATGGAGAATAAACTGCCACAGATTCATGATCTGAGACTCACAGACTTCAGAAGTCATGTCAGTGAAATAGGAGTAACTTGCAGCAAGAAAGAAAAGCTAGATAACATTTACTCAGATCCTTTTTATTAAGTAAATATAATTCATAAAGTACCCTTGCTTGATATTTTCGTTCCTTCTGCATTTGTTAGTAGGACTGATCATTTTTCATCACACAGCTTGCATTTTCTGTCTGGCGCACAACAAAACTTCAATAAGTATTGTACCCTTTTCATGTTTAAAAACTGATCTCTTTAAATCTGGGATCCCAGTGTTTTGAACATGCTTTTGATTGAAGATGAAAAAAAGTTTGGCTGGAAAAGTTAATTATACATGGGATTTCCTCACCCGGGCCATATTTGACAAGCTTGTGAAAGGCAACCTTGGCTGAGGACACTGGAGAGCTGTGTACAAAGATTAATCGTATCAAATGCCATTTTTCAATGAGTATGAGGCAGACAATGGGTGGGAAAAAATTAAACCCTATTTGTAACCATGTGCAGTGGAAACATAATCTATGGATATGGGAGAAGGCTAAAGGTTCACTCAGTGATCTAACCGATCTGACTGTCCAGAGAGTACAGAGGGCAGGGGAGGAGGAATTCTTGCAATACTAAATGAAGCAAGCAACACTTTTTCATTTGGCGGTCAGTACCATGAGGAGGTAGAAAAGCAAAGGACAACAGAAGGATGTCTCTGAGAACAAGCCAGTCCTCAGTTGCAACTCTGAACCATAAAAACATTAATCTGGTTAATTTCGGTAAAAGGCAGCCTTCTAAAAACATGCGTATATTGCAAGAGAATGAATGTTGCAGGCAAGGAGCTATGGTGAGAACTAAGGATGCATTTCCAAAAGAGAAAGACGCTTCCTTCAGGGACTTACCACTGGACAGCAGTGACAGACAGGTCAGTGTACAGGGGCTGGAGGGATTCAGATTAACCTACCTGGACCTATGCTGTGCTTTGAGCTGTGTGTTTGGAGTGGGGTTTTTTTTTAAGGGAAATTCAGGCTGAAGTACAATGTCTGTGCCTCATGGAGCAACTCAGCGGAGTTACGAGTTGTGGTATGAATGTAAGCTGTGCTTCTACAGAGAGAATGCAGTGGCTTCTCTTGAAACAATCAGTTTACTAGCAGTTTCTGTAAGGTTGTGGTTATATAATATATGGTTGTATAATATGGTTATATAATATGTGCCAGCACTATCTCTTTTTCTCTCCAGAATAAAAAAATAAAGTTTGCTTTTTTTATTGGTGGAGAAAACATTTCCGCAGCTGCATCAGCCAGTAGTTTGGTTATTACAGGGTATCAAATCTTAGGCTGCATGTAAGGTTTTCATAATAGTAATTGCTTGGAAAGAGTGACAAATTGTAATTGCAGATAAGCTCATTATTGGAAATTGACACTAGCAATAATTCTCAGTTCAATAAACTGCAGCAGTGTAAGCAGCTGTAGGTACATAGTTAGAGTTTTCTTAAAAGCCTTGGATCATACCTAATACTCAACTGTACCTAGTTTTATCACTTTACACTTAGCTTTAGTTCTTTCCTGTCACTTGTTTTAAAGAAATTAATTTGAAACATTCTGATAATAAAATCAATTGACAAAATAAATTGATGTTTTCCTTGTCGGTCTTGTAAGTCTGTCTTCAGGAGAATTTTGTTGTTGTTGTGACAGATTCCAAGAGGTCTAGGGCAGAATACATGTAGTCCTTCACTTATGACCATTGTTAAGTGAGGCATTTGTTAAGTGAGTTTTGCCCCATTTTATGACCTTTCTTGCCATAGTTGTTAAGTGAAACAGCAGTGGTTAAATTAGTAATATGGTTGTTAAGTAAAGCTGGCTTTCCCATTGACTTTGCCTGTAAGAAGATCACAAAAGATGATCACATGACCCCAGGATTCTGCAACTGTCATAAATATGAGTCGGTTGCCAAGCTTCTGAATTTTGCTCACGTGATCATGGAGATGCTGCAGTGGTTGTAAGAGTGAAAAACGGTCATAAGTCACTTTTTTCAGTGGCATTGTAACTTCAAACAGTCGCTAAATGAACTGCTGTAAATCGAGGATTACCTCTACTTATTGGATCTCCCCACTTCACCCCATTTTTCTCAGCATCCTGGGTCAATGTGGCTTTTTTTTTTTAAATTCTTAAGTTCGGGTTTTTTCCTTAAATCGTTGGCTCACTAAACAGGAAAATATGGGTAAGCCTAACATAATGAAACTGTGCTGAAGACTCTATTCTGAGTAGCAGTTTTTCAGCCAATAGAAGCCCAGGATTTTGTACTGTGTTTAGATTAGAAGCATAAGCACATACTTTGAACGATGGTGGCTGTCTAATTTAATGTGGCGCTCCGATTTTATAAGAGTTCAGTCAGAACCTGGTCATTGAAGGGTTGAGTATATTTTAGTATGTTTGATAAATTTATGTTTTATTAATCATGGTTTATGCTTTAGCACCATTTGTAAACCTGGCAACTGAGGCTTAGGTAAGAAACAAAACTGTACCTCAGTGCAAGACATGAACCCAGTACCATGTTTGGATTGCAGCCTTAACACTGAAATACTTCACTAAAGACATGCACTTAACATTCCAAAAGTCCTTCTCCCCACTCCCAAGTATTATTGGGACATGTGTAAATAAAACGATCAGAAAATTGTATTTTGTTCTCAGTGTCCTCTGCTCTTGCTAAGGGACATTCCTCTTGTTTGACTTTTGGAAGAAAAGACGTGATCTCTCAATTAAACAATTATTTGTGAGCACAGAAAAATATTGTTTTTAAAGACTACAAATAGCATATTCACAACTGTTCACTTTAGAAATGTCTAAAGATAGTATTCCTAACAAATAAGTAGCAAGCTTACACAAAAGGATTATTACCTCATCCCATATATTAAAACAGCAGAATTAATATTTGGTTTAAATTTTCTTTCATTTCAGGCTGTGCCTGAGCACCTTTTATCTAGCCACATATCAGCCTTGGCAATGAAGCAGAAACTTGCTTTTACCAACCTAAGCTTCGAGGGGGATTCAGGTCATTCACCTTCTCTTCATTCTCAATTAAACACAACTACCATTGATCTTTCGGGTATCACTTGCCAAGAATACATCCAATCCATAGAGGACAACATTTCCAAGCTATCAGGAATTGTGAATGTCAAGGAATCTCTTGAACAAAGCCAAATAACTGAAAAATATTCGGGACTGGAAATAAGCTCTCAGCAAATCTGCCAGGAAATTAAAAAACTGGGATTTGACACCAATGTTGTGGAGGCAACCCAGACTTCAGGCCAATGGTCCAGTGAAGCTGTTATTAAGGTGAAAATAGAAGGCATGACCTGTCAGTCTTGTGTCCATGCTATTGAAGAAAATATTGGGAAATTACACGGGGTGAAGAAAATCAAAGTGGCCCTCAACAACCAAGAAGCTATCGTTGTTTACTATCCCCTTATTATTAAGCCCGAAGAACTAAAGAATAGCATAGACGGCCTGGGATATGAATGCATCATAAAGGATAAGCAAGCCCCCTTGGAACTAGGTTTCATTGATGTTGAACGCTTACAGCAGATAAATGTAAAAATGTCCAGTGAACAAAATGGTGACAGAAATACTGGGGACAGCATTGGATCCAGTATATGCGTTGCAGTACTAGAAATCGAAGGAATGCATGACCGATCACGTGTTAACAATATGGAAGGTTTAATTTCAGAGATGACTGGAGTACAAGGTACCAGGGTATCCCTGGACGAAAAAAAGATTACTGTGTGGTTTGACCAAAGGCTCATCACTCCACCTTCATTTCAGCAAGCCATCCAAGCCATTACCTCTGGTAACTTTAACCTAGTTTTTTCTTGTGGAGTGGAAGGCCAAAATGGACAAATTATCTCAACTGCTGCCTCTTCCGTACCTTCTTTCAGTCACCTTTCCCAAGTACAGGGGGCAAATGGATGCAATACAGCTCTCCTCAGAATTGATGGAATGACCTGCAATTCTTGTGTAAATTCTATTAAAGGCTCCATATCCCAAAAGAAAGGGGTGATGCGCATCTCTGTATCTTTAACTGAAGGTACCGCAGTTGTGTCTTACAATTCCATTATGACCAACTCGGAAGAGATACGAGCTGCTATAGAAGACATGGGATTTGATGCTTTTGTCCTAACAGGTATTGTATGATACAGCTTTTGCTGCTGTTGAATCAAGATGCATGAAAACTCTTGTGTCAACTGATGAATTTTAAACGCTTAAACATTTTGAGCTGCTTCTGATTGGGTTAACATTTGGAACACAAATTCATAAGCCCTGGCCTAGGGTTACAGCTGTTAGATCCTAAATGTGTACATGGCTTTTTGAATTGGGTACATTCTGTACAGTGATGGGATTCAAAAAAATTTACTACCGGTTCTGTGGGTGTGGCTTGGGAGGGGCGTGGCAGGGAAAGGATACTGAAAAAATCTCCAGTCAGAGGTGGGATTTGCTGGTTCTCCGAACTACTCAAAATTTCCGCTACTGGTTCTCCAGAACTGGTCAGAACCTGCTGAATACCACCTCTGATTCTGTACACTGGTAAAATACAGAGCTTTAATACTTAAATACCAGATGTGCCATGGTATTTAAATATTAGATACTTAATGAAGAAAAATATTGCTATTGCTGAGCTCCAGGTTAGGAACTGACTATAGCTTTCAATTAATGTGGAACTCATGAGTTCCATCCATGAAAATAATGAATTAAATTTGCCTCTCTTTTAGTTGCAGGGTTAGATCTGTCCTTGAAAGACAAAAAGGATGCTTGGATAATAGAAACTTATTCTCAGTTCCTTCAGAAATAGCTAGAAACTGATTTTTTATGTTACTGTTTTTAAGCCCACCAGACTTTGTAGAAAACTATATCCTGTGTAGAAAGCCAAAAACTATGTCCAGCACAGACTTCCTTTGCCATATCCATAAATTCAGTAGAGTTATTTCAGAATAATCATATTCTGAGCTGCTGATGAAATATCCATCATGTGCAGGATAACATCACTGTAACTTGTTGTCTTTTAACATTGCAAAATGTTTGAAAAAAACATATTTAGATTTACTCCTGGTGACTTCCTGGCCTCTAACTCTAACCCTGAGTCTTATTTTTCCCTAGCATGGGTTTGCCGTTGAACCGATTTTCCAGTTTACCCTACAATCTTAATATTCTCAGGTAGTATTCCATCAAAATACTAAGTAGGCTTGACTGGCATAAATATTTCACAATTTGTTTTACCAGAAATTACATGTCTCATAAGAATCTTATGTTTTGGAAAAAGGAACGAAGAAGCTTTCAAGAAAAGGAAAAAGGAGGGTATCAGAGACAATGGATGTTCTTTTCCTAAGATGGCTTGCTCTGTCCATCCTAAAGCCCCCAATCAATTATCATTGATAGATTGTGGTCTTCAACACACACACACACACACACACACACACACACACACACACAAATGCCTGCCCATGTTTTAAATAGTTCAAAACTCTCAGAAGTGTTTCCATATCTTTCATCTTTTGAAAATTAAAATCCATCTGGGATTGGCATTCCAACACGTATTTGTTTCAAATTCTTCATTTAACTTCAGAAATATAGTACTGCTAGGAAGAAAGGCAATGCTTCCAAAAGCAACCTAAAATACTTTGGGATAATGATTAACTAACGTTTCTTCTGCTCCACATATTCATGCAATATTGATCTTATTTTAGATACAGTAATTGGAAAACCTACTGATGGAAGTATAGAGCCGAGTGAGATGACCTCTGTTTCCTTCAAAACCAAAGTCCCAGAACTGTCATCTGAAGATGTATTTTTGCCAAAAAAGAAGTTGTGCACTAACTTTCCAGAATTGTCCAGTAAAAGGGACACTGAAAAATGTTTCCTGCTTGTAAAAGGCATGAATTGTGCATCGTGTGTTTCAAGCATTGAGAAGAATTTACAAAAAAAAGATGGTAACATAGCTTGGCACATTTTTTTCATTATGTTATTTGGGTTCTCCTTATTTAGCTTGCTAAATAACTATAGGCGCTATCTTAGCATCTTACTGTTATGTGAATAACTCTATTGGAATGAACCTAGCCTTAGATGTTAAGTACTTAACAATGACATGAATATAACTTTGATTTGGTGTTAGACATGCCTTGTAAATATATCTGCTTAAAAAGGAAGACAATAGATTTGAGAAAGATCTACTTTCACATCAGGCTACCTAAAATGGTAACTGGATTAAGTAATAAAGATTACACTTTAAGGCTGGACTGAGTACTACCATTGTGTTCAGACTGTTAGGTATGTCACGGGAAAGAATGTATTTGTTTGATGCAGCTTTGTTTTTACAGGAATAGTCTCTGTGCTTGTTGCCTTGATGGCAGGGAAAGTGGAAGTAATATATAAGCCAGATAAAATTCAACCTCTTGAAATAATCCAGTTGATTGAGGAATTGGGTTTTGAAGCTTCAGTCTTACAAGATTATGCTGGCACAAATGGAAACATAGATGTCAAGGTGAGCACCATGACACTAAGTCTTAGAAGCTTCTTATTGATCCTAAACAGAAAAATGCAAATATGAATATTCAGCAAGGAATAAATGTACTTTCTTTTAGGTTCATGCATATGACTTTTGAAACATTGAATGTTGGATCCCAGCAGCAAATTTTAAATGCAGGTTACACAATTAGCTTTGCCATTAAAGTCGTACTTTTATACACCCATAGTTTTCTGTACATCTGTGTTTGTACTTTTAATTTGTTTCATTGTAAAGTTTTAAAGCATTATACCAATTGGATAGATTTGCATACATTCATACAATTCTACATTTATTCCAGCTACTTCTGATAAATGTGAGCATCTGAGATGTTCCCAGGAAAAAAAGATTGACAAAGGGAATGTACTTACTTTGCAATGTTAGAATTGTTACAAAATTTCTTACGAAAGGCAAATATAACAGTTGAGAATCCCCAATATATTGCCAGCCCATCTCCCAGCTAGCATGTGATGAGATTTAGCATTAAATTAGGGAAAGCTAAGGTTCACCCTTGGGCTTCTCATTGGCTGTATTTCCCTTTCATTTTCTGTCCTCTATAGATGCCCTCTTGAGCTGGAACTTCAGGAGGTTGTGTAAAGTATCACACTAATGAAACTTAGTACTTTTTGTCTTTTTGTTTAATATGGGAGATATAGATACAATGGAGCAATGGTCAATGTGACAGCCCAAAGCAGATTCTTGTGCTGACAACTAACTCAAATTTTGCTTAGATTCTAGGGATGACTTGTAGCTCATGTGTTCATAGCATTGAATCCAAGCTTACTGAAACCCCCGGCATTCTCTATGCATCTGTAGTCCTAGCCACTTCAAAAGCCCGTGTTCGTTATGATCCAGAAGTAATTGGTCCTCGAGACATTATAAAAATTGTTGAGGTAAGCTATTAAAGCAAACATTTCTAAGAGCCAAGATGGTCATCAATTAATATTAATTAATATTGACATATTTAATCTTCCCAGTCCAGGCACATTCCAAATTTTTATGCTCAGAGTACCCAATCCAGTGTAGCTGTTGTTGAGAATTCTGGAAGTTGCAGTCTTTAAACATTTTTATTAGATTATAGAATAAAATATAAAAATACAAAAGCAAATAGGAGGACACAGTGGGGAGGAGAGGGGGGGAAGTGAGGGGGGGAGGGAGAAAAGAAAAAAAACAGTGTTGATTTCCAACTCCCTCTGTTGCAGTAGAATAAAGCATTAACATCAAAATCCAACGTTTTACTTTTCTATAATAATATAAACTAACCATTTCTATAACAATGAAAATTCAGGGAGAATTCACTTCTGGGATGTTTAGGGGAGACTGCTGCAATAGCTACGCAGTTCCCAGGCCTTGGAAAAGTTGATAAATCTCAACTGGATTGCCTAGATGAATGATTGATATTAGAAGATCACTGGCAACTTTTGCGTTATTTTGCACTTGTTAGTAAGTTGCAAATCAATAAGGTAGTCTTCTCTAACCTAGCATCTCCAAGATATACAGATACTCATCCCCCTAAGGAGCAACAACTAGTCTCCAGAGGCCTTGGAAGGTAGTAAATCTCAACTGGATTGCCTAGATCAAGGGTAAGGAATGATGCCCCTTTTATGAGTTGTGGACTTCAACTCAGCACAGCTGGCTCAGGAATTCTGAGAGTTGAAGTTCGCAAGTCATAAAAGGGCCATCGTTCCCCACCCCCTTGCCTAGATGAATGATTGATATCAGAAGACTATTAGCAACTTTTGTGCTGTTGTGCATTTTTTTAGAAAGTTGCAAATCGATATGGTAATCTTCCCTAACCCGGCATCTACCAGATACACAGATAGTCGTGACCTAACAACCACTCATTAGCAACTGTTCAATACGATGATGGCACTGAATGAAGGACTTATAACCTGCAGCCTAAACTTACAGCTGTTGCAGGGCCCCCACGGTCACATGATTGCAATCTGGGCACTTGGCCAGCCATTTGCACTTATAGCAGGTTGCCAGACTCCCCCCAAATCATGTGAACACCATGTGGAATCTTCCCTGCTGGCTTTTCCAAATAGTCAACATTGGAAGGACTACTTCACCCGGCCTCTTTGAGAGCAAAAAACAAAAGCAAAAGCCTGCTGTCTGATTGATTGATTGATTTCATCTGAGGAGGGCAGAGTTTCTTTGGCAAACAGCATTTTTGCTCTCAGGGAGGCTGGTTGAAAAAGTTCCTTCACAAATAGACTTCTTTACCCAGCCTCACAAATTGCAGTACTGGGCTAGAGCAAAGAAGGTCTAATCTTGATGATCTGAGCTTCTTTTCTCCGGTCCAGTACTGCAGTTCCTCTCCTACCTAGCGGAGAAACTCCGCCCTCAGCGGGGGGAAATTAATCTGTCAGGAAGCGCTTTTGCTCTCAAAGAGATCGGGTGAAGAAGTCCATTGGTAGAGCAAGGAAGGTCAGATCTTTGTCATCTGGGCTTCTTTTCTCCAGCCCAGTGCTGCAGTTCCCTTCTGCACAAGAAGAGTTCTCCACTCCTCTACTCGTTGCAGAACACCTTATGCCACTAGACTTGAAATTCTAGACCTAGAAAACCTAGAACTACGCCGCCTTCGGTCCCATCTAAGTATAGTATATAAAATCATACATTGCAATGTCCTACCTGTCAATGAATACTTCAGCTTCAATCATAACAATATAAGAGCACACAACAGATACAAACTCAAGGTTAACCGCACCAAACTTGATTGCAGGAAATACGACTTCAGCAACAGAGTGGTCAATGTCTGGAATACTCTACCTGACTCTGTGGTTTCTTCCCCAAACCCCAAAAACTTTAGCCTTAGACTGTCTACTATTGATCTCACCCCTTTCCTAAAAGGTCTGTAGGAGGCGTGCATAAGCGCACCATTGTGCCTACCATCCCTGTCCTATTGTTTCTTTTATTTTTCTTATATGTACCCATTTCATGTATTCATAACTATGCTTATACTTATACCTATTATCTTATAAGCAATTGACAAATCAAATAAATAAATAAAATGGAGCTGGGGAAGCTGCCTGCCCTCCTTCAGCAGGCAGTTCTTTCACTCTGTCTGCTTAGCAATCTTCATGGTTGTTTAACGATGCAACAGGGAGAGCCAAGATTGTGGTCATTGAGCAAGGCAGTCATATTTGCATCTCACTAACTTACAGCCTAAATTCAGGACTCAGTTGTGGTCATAAATTGAGGACTACCTTATCGGGTTACACTTTCCAAATTCCTAATCAGCAAAACCTGCCGTATTTGGACATTGAATGGTATTCACCATGAGTGAAAATTAAGGCTTACCTTTTTTTTAAACCTCTCATTACAAAAGCAGCTCTGGTAATTAATAAAGTACCATTTATAGTGTAACATAATCATCTAATAATTGTTTGCATTTGTTTTTGTAATGGTATTTATTTGCTTTTTGTTATAAAGGGAATTGGTTTTCAAGCATCTTTGGCTAAAAGAGATCCAAAAGATCATAACTTGGATCATAAACAGGAAATCCAACAGTGAGTAGATCTGCCAACCAAAGAATATTTTGTAAACAAATACTCCAAGGATATTCCTCTCCAATTAGATGTCCACCCACTGAAAAACACATTTTCTTCTCCCTGCAGTCATTAAAATGTTACAGATTGAGGAATTCTTAGTTGCCAACTCTATGATGGAATTGCAGGTGGAGTGGTGAAATGGGCACATTTCTCATTTTTCATGAATAACTTCTAAATGAATTGTTTCTGATCTGATTGGCCAACCGCACACTATGCCTTTTACTATAGTCTTCATTTCCTTTGTTTCACACTTCTCTGGATGTATGGGCTATCACAGCTGAATTGCAAAAACTCCAGGTGACTTTTTGCTAATGGTCATCCAGATTGCTGCAAGGCAAATATTGTAGCTCTGCACACATATAGGGGTCCCGCAATATAGAAAAATATAGAAGCACGCCAATCCATGTTCAGAGCTGATTTGTATCCAATCTGATGACAAGGTAGGAGTAAATGTGGTATAATTTGCTTTTGTCAATCAAGTTGTGAGGAAAGCTTTATCTTCTAACAGTGTGGATTCTCTGCCATTGCAGATGGAAGAAATCGTTCTTATGTAGCTTGGTATTTGGTATTCCAGTTATGGTCTTAATGGTGTATATGTTATTACCAATTGGTGACCATCATGAATCAATGGTGTTGGAGCAAAACCTGATTCCTGGACTGTCTATTCTAAACCTGATCTTCTTTGTACTTTGTACTTTGGTTCAGGTATGGAGATTCTTTAAATACTCTGTTTTTAACATCTCCCATTATATAATTACCTATAAATCTTTTAAAAGTTCTTTTGAGACATCTAGACAGGACATGTTGGAAAACTAATTGCTCCTCTCTTTCTCTCACTTCCTTCCAGTTCCTGGGTGGATGGTACTTCTATGTCCAAGCCTACAAGTCATTAAAGCATAAAATGGCCAATATGGACGTCCTGATAGTAATGGCCACATCAACTGCTTATATCTATTCATGTACCATTTTGATAGTTGCAGTTATTGAAAAGGCTGAACAGAGTCCCATCACATTTTTTGATACCCCGCCAATGCTGTTTGTATTCATAGCCCTTGGGAGATGGCTCGAACACATAGCAAAGGTTAGTATTTCTTGAAGGCTAAAGGCCAGATTTACTTAGCAACCACATCATTTTCTTCATGTCAGCAGTGATCTGTTTAACAACATTGGTAAAAGTGGTGGTAAAATCAGGTCTGGTCATGTGATGACTTGCTAAATGACCTCATTGCCAATGTTCATATATCTTTAGATATGAGATATTTGCTGGTGGATAATGTATTGTACACCATATACATACAAGATTGCAAATGTGTCACAATTTCCATTTCCGAAAGCCTGCTCAGTGTTGAGTATGACTGGGCAATCACTTATTAATGCCTCAACTTTAATTCTTTTAATTTCTACTTTTAATTTTATTTTTTAAGGATTAAATATAAATTGTCTTCTTAGTGCTGGCCTTTTGACTGCAACAAATGAAATAAATGAATAAAACTGGACCCCATCCATTTCTGCTATCAGCATATCCCCTGCAACTTCCCCTGAAAATCTCAAACAAACATGGCTGCCTACCACTTTATACAGGTTCTTAGAAACTTGCACCATGTCCTTAAAATGTTCAGCTTAGCGTACAATTATTAAAATGACAGTAGAACAAAAATAGTCAGAAGACTTACATAAAAGCAATCAGAGGTGGAAATATGCAAGCCAGTATAATTGACAAAGATAAACAAGATAGATCAATGGTCGTCTACCTTTTCTTCACCACGGACCCCCTTTAAATACCTTTTGTGGCCATGAACCATGGCCACAGACCCCCAAGACTTAACTCAAGATTTAAATCATAACATTTTTTCAAGCCTTTGAGGACACCCTGTGATGATATCTCAGCCTCCCAATGGTCCACGGATCACAGGCTGAGAACCATTGAGATAGATGACTCTTTGCAGTTTATTCAAATTATATCATGTAATATAAATGACAAGTGAGTTTCTCTAGGACAAACTTTCTACCAGCAACCTCCACTAGGAAGAAGTCCCTTGCCTTTGTAACCTCCTGCTGAGAGGTGGTATTTAGCAGGTTCTGACCAGTTCTGGAGAACCGGTAGCGGAAATTTTGAGTAGTTTGGAGAACCGGAAAATATCACCTCTGACTGGAGATTTTATAGTATCCTTCCCCTGCCACGCCCACCAAGCCACACCCACAGAACCAGCAGTAAAAAAAATTGAACCCCACCACTGCTCCTGCTGCATCTTAATTTGGTAAGAAAAAAAAGGCATTCATAGCATCAGATTTTGTTTGCCCAATCTTTCAGTTACTCAGAGTAATATTGATCTGGTTCTGTATGTTGAGCAACTGAATTGGATTTAATTTTCCATTGACCATGAAGTTCACTTATTATCTTGATTGGCTGGATCATTTTAGTTCAAGCTACCTCTCAAGATGCAAGGGTATGATGATATGTGAATTCCACATGAAGGTCTCTGGAATAATAGTAAAAAAAAAAACAATATAGTTTTTTCAGTGTATTTATCAAGTGCATTAGCATAGTGTGGTGAAAAGATTCAATTGTTCTCTTTTCTTAATTTTTCCCCCAAGGCATATTTTGATTGCACACAAAAGTACAAGCTTGGTGAAGTGATTTAATGTGCTTTGGGACTGCATAGAAATAAGTCTCATGTGCTCCATTATGTTATGAAAGAAAAGCAGCAGTGGTTATAAAGGGCAGTTACCCTATGAGAGAAGGGGAAAAAAGAGCAAACAAATCAAGTTCTAATATAGGCATCTAGTCAAGAAATAGCAGTGAAAGGTTTGCCAGAAAAAGGCATTTCCCAGAGGTGCTGATTGTGTATTTCAAAATAATGGTGTTTTGGCTTGCATTCTCTAAAATATTAATGCTTCCGCATAGTGCATAACTAGTGGAATGTAATTCTTAGTTCTAGCATCTAGGCCCTCCTTTTAGAATAGCTTTCATTCCACTCTGCTTTTGCATTAGTAACAGTGGAGTGTATATCAATATTTAGAATACATCATTACTCTGCTCTTCAATTAGTAACAGTGGAGTGTATGCCAATATTTAGAATACATCATGTAAAATTAAACTGGAAGCAGCACAAGTATATTGTGAAGGCTACCTACATACATCTGTCTCTATTTCAGAGTAAAACATCTGAAGCACTTGCTAAATTAATTTCTCTTCAAGCTACAGAAGCTGTTGTAGTGACACGTGGAGCTGACGGTTGCATAATCAGGTACGTCATCGGTACAAATGTTTTGCTTTTTTATGCAGCAATATTTTCATTTCTTTTAATAACTTTGAAAAGTAATATGGAAGTGATGGCTGTAAATTCATTGTAGTGGATGTAACTGATTTTGAGGGTACACTGAAACATACTGTAGTTCTGATTCATCTGTTAGAAACTGCTGTATGTAAATTAAATAGCTAAATGGAATTGTGCCGAAAAACTCTCCTTTGAAATTAATGATCCCTTCACCATCCAATAACAAGAACAAGTCTAAAGCAATTTTTTCCTCCTTTTGGATTCTCTCCCTAACTACTACAATTAGTATGGAAACAGGTAGTCCTCAACTTACTATCACAACTGAGCCCACAATATGGATTGTGAGTTATTGCAGTCGTTAAGCACCCACTTGTGTGTGGGCCTTCAATTCTTCCCACCACTCCTAGAAGGCTTGTTCCGGCTGAGGGCTGGTTTTGCAATGTTTCTGAGGCCCTTTGGAAACATTAGCTAGCTTTCTACAATAGCTGCACCCTGAATTCAGTTATATAGAAAGAGAAGGTAAGCAGAGCTGTGCAGTTGAATAGTGAGAAGGCCCCAGTGGTGGGGTTCAATTTTTTTTACTACCGGTTCTGTGGGCGTGGCTTGGTGGGCGTGGCAGGGGAAAGGATACTGTAAAATCTCCAGTCAGAGGTGGTGTTTGCCGGTTCTCCGAACTACTCAAAATTTCCGCTACCAGTTCTCCAGAACTGGTCAGAACCTGCTGAATACCCACCTCTGGAAGGCCCGAGCCTTCTAAGAGAGTGGGCCTAGTTGGCAGTGGCCTCTTGCTCACAGTAGGGTTTCTACGTGCCAGTGTTCCTAGCTAGCTTCCTGGCCTAACGGGCACACTGTGAAGAGCCTGGATTTTTTGTGTACTGGGGGCATTGCAATAATTCGATCTCCTCCCCAAAGTTGGAACTTTGGGAGAGGATCATATGTCCCCTTGTCCAGCGCCATAGTATTTTTGAATGGTCACTGATCAAATGGTCATAAATCGAAAATTGCTTTGTATAGTAAGTAAGGCAGT